ATGGCCGGACCTGTCTCCTCTGAGGGGTGGGCACCGTGTTTCAGATAGTCCTTCAGGATGGCCAGACCTGTCTCCTCTGAGGGCTTTTGAGACCCTTGCCCACAGTATTTTAAGAACCACATAAAGGAAGACAATTTAGTAGTTACATATTCTTGCAGATGAATGGCCTTTCTTGGGACCTGTTCAGTCATGATCCTTTCAAGAGGCACTTACATTGACCACACCTGTGGACTTAGTGGAGTGCAGTCTTTAGATGGTGGGTTCAGTGCCATATTCATCATGAAACGCTGTGTTCGTTTTACAGGGATGGTGTACATGGCTGGGCTTGTTTTTGCGGTCGGTGGCTTTAATGGGTCCTTAAGAGTCCGCACTGTAGACTCCTACGACCCCGTGAAGGATCAGTGGACCAGTGTGGCTAACATGCGAGACCGGAGAAGCACTTTGGGAGCTGCTGTGTTAAATGGGTTATTGTATGCTGTAGGAGGTTTTGATGGGAGTACAGGTAATTTCCTTTTCATTTTTTTCACACTGCTCTTAGAACTAACATAGCGACCATGTTTATAGAACAGATGGTGGCAAGATTAGGAGACATTTGACTGTTTTAACAGGCATTATATTTAAAGATAAGTTTAAAATCTCGTCAAGAATTCCTTTAATGATGTAAGAGTCCGAATTATACACATTTTCTTTCTTAACCGTCAGTATCCGCCATCTCGCCAGTTTCAGAAGCTACTAAATGTCAGTAGCTTGGGAGGAGCCCTTTGGAAAAGAAGCTACTCCCGTTCACCGTCTAATCGATAGGTGTACATTCCACCGTTATCGTCTTTTAGGTTTAGCCTGATTGAACACACCTGAAGTGTTCTCCTTTAAGAAAACGCGTCTATAAGAAAGAACAAGTCAACTTCTTTCGAGGAGGAAATGAAGAGTGCTGTGCTTTACCATAGGTCTGTCGTCTGTGGAGGCGTATAACATCAAGTCCAACGAGTGGTTTCACGTAGCCCCAATGAACACAAGGAGGAGCAGTGTGGGCGTAGGGGTTGTTGGAGGTAGGTGCTGACAGTTCCTCCAGGTGAACATTTCCAAGTATGTATGTCTTCTGGATTGTTGGGAGTGGAGCGGGTTCTTCCAGTAATCTGAACACTGATGTTAGAAGTGGGCAAGCAAATGATCACTTAAAAAAAGAAAAGCAGTAATTATTGTGAAATGTTTTTAAAATTAACTTACCCATATGAACTTACCTGTATACCTGGTGGTGCCGTTGCTAAGCCCTCGACTGCTAACCGAAAGGGTGGTGATTGGAATCCACCAGCCACTCTCTATCCCTCTGTGTGTCCTCATTAGACAGTCGGCTGATTTTAGTACACTTGTCTGTCAATAAATTAGATGACATATATAGATATGTGTAGACAGATAGACGAAGAAGGGCCGTTTACATTTAAGGGATGGATTACCAGTTATTTGTTCATATCCTCCTTTGTCCCCAGATAGAATTTAAGGAAGGCTCTGAGTATTATTTTTTGGTGCGATTTTTATATTGACATGGCAAATTTGTGAGTTCCCTCCTCCTCCTCACCATGGGTATAATTCCCTGCACTTTTTTTTAACAGCTTTGTTGAGATATAATCACGCACTCTACAATCACCTATTTAAAGGGTACAATCCACTGGCTTTTAGTTGGTAACAGAGCTGTGAACCATCACCACAGTCAATTTTAAAGTATTTCCATTACTCCAAAAATTAATCCTGGTTTGCTTAGTATCGCTCTCCAATTCCACCATCCTCCCCAGCATAGGCAACTACTAATCTACTTGCTGTCTCTGGGTTTGCCTCTTTTGGATATCTCATTTAAATGGAATCGTACACTCTGCAGTCCTTCATGGCTGACTTCTTTCACTTCACATAAGATTCAAGGTTCACCCATGCTGCAGCATGTTGTCAGTACTTCATTTCTTTTTATTGCTGAATAATATTACATTGTATCCCTGTACTACCTTTTTTTGATTTACTAAAGTAACTTTGATATGTACTTGTTTCCCAGGAGGTTATTCCACTTACCAAACAGTGTTGTCCAAAAATATAATGAATGTACTTTCAGTTCTGTCCGTCAGATTATTGATGAAAATGTAGAATTAACACCATCGTGTCTACCCTGCAGATCTTCATAAAATAACTTCATCAGTCCACCTGTCACCATTAGTCAAGGTCCTAATATAGTTCATAAAAATCAGTAACACTTTCAGAGGAAACTTTGCTACCAAGGAGGAGAATATACTAATATTTTCTGACTTGGAAAAATAGCTCGTTCTGAATTTGGCTCTCTTTGGGATTCCACGTTCAGGTCTGCTCTATGCTGTCGGTGGTTATGACGGAGCCTCACGGCAGTGTCTCAGCACAGTGGAATGCTATGATGCCGTAACAAACGAGTGGACCTATACAGCAGAAATGAGCACCAGACGGAGCGGAGCAGGTGAGCGCGAACCGCGTCTAGCAATCGAAGGAGGACAGTGCTATGGATACTTTAAAAAGTGAAATGACTCATTGGCATCTCTATATTATTTGGAAGTATATGCTGATTTTAATGACCATGTTAAATGTCTTGAATTGTGCAGGGAATGTTAGGTAGCTGTACTTAAACTTTACTTCATAAAATTTTATTTCTAAGTCCTATATTAAAGGAGTTCTCTGTTTCACTTCCAAATTTATATTGTCTGGCATTCTTTTCAGTTTTTGGTTTTCAGTGCTTACAGGGGAGCTTTTGTAAGAGATAGTCTTCATCTTCATTTCTTTTAAATTTTGTGCTTTTAACACTGTTTTACTTTTTATCATTTTAAAACTTGTTTTCAAAAAGATTATATTGAAGGACTTCATCCCTGTCTGTGTTCTACCTACATATTATTTTTATTTCATTTGACCAAAACCCAAACCAAATCCCTTGCTGTAGAGTCTATTCCAACTCATAGCAACCCTATAGTACAGAGTAGAACTGCCTCATAGGGTTTCCAAAGCTGTAATCTTTACAGAAGCAGACTGCCATTTCTTTCTCCAACATAGTGGCTGGTGGGTTCCAGCCAACCTCTCAGTTAGCCGACCACTTAACTACTGCGCCACCAGGGCTTCTTATTTTGTTTGACAGGCTTCTTTCTTTAGAAGAATAGTTCTTATTGGGGTTCCTGTTTAACTGTCAGTTCTTTTCTTCTCTGTTTCTTAAATTGTATGCTCTAACACTGATTTACTATGAATAATAATTTTGAAAGTTTTAGTTACAAGTGATTGGAATACAGCCTAAAATGTTATAAATTTCTTGTCCCTTTTGTTGTACTCTTGTTGGGTTGTTTATGTTTTACAGGTGTTGGTGTGTTAAACAACTTATTGTATGCTGTAGGAGGTCATGATGGCCCTTTAGTACGAAAAAGTGTTGAAGTGTATGATCCTACCACCAATGGGTGGAGGCAGGTGGCAGATATGAACATGTGTAGAAGAAATGCAGGTATCTTTCTACTTTAAGACTGTGAAGTTTATATTAAATTTTATTTACAGTTTTAGTAGTATTACTGTATCTTTCCATTGTTCTTTTGCTGATCTGGGTTCCCTGTTAGACTTTGAGCTCTTTAAGGTAGAAACTTATGTAATAATTCTATATAGTGGGCACCTAGCATAGTGTCTGGAACATAACAGCCTGTTGGGACACTTCGGTTAACTTATAATTTCTTCTGGTGACTACTTTTTATTCGATGACTAGAGAGTAAGAGCCCTCTTCATTTGATACTTCAGTTTGTTCATCCTACCACACACATCTTTGAGTGCGTACCATGTGTCATGTACCAGAGATCAGAGATGGATGAGCTGTGATCCCAGTTCTCAGGGAGTTTAGTCTACTTGAGTAAATAAAAGCTAGCTATTATCTGAATCTGGACAACGAAACCTGAGAAAAAGTAGCCCTAATTTAACACAGTTCAAGATCTGCAGAAAATGGAAGAACTAAAGCAACAACAACAAAATAATTTTAAGGAAGCAGAATTCTTCAGGATTAGGAAGCCGACCACTTGAGAAGAAGATCCATGTAAGGGGAAAACAAATGGAAAATAGATTCATGATAGTCAGTTAGTCTTTGAAGAAATGCCAGTCATATTTAAAATGCCATTATCCTGACTCCATTTCCCATAGTCCAGAATGTTCCTGATAATTCTCAAACTCACCGTGTACCATTGGATGATGTTGTGAGATGCACCAAAAAATACTCTTAAATTTCTCATTAATTTAAATGTAATGACTAAGGGATACTAAGTATGTGGGACTGCAAGGACTATCAAAAACAGACCAGAATTTGTCATTAATTCTACTTGATCTTGCATCTCTTTTAGTCACTTTTAGTTGTAAGGTATTAAAAGCCTCTCAGCTATAGGTAGGTCAGAACCATACTAAGACCTGCAAATAATTGGCCCTAAATAGAATCAAAGTGCTTGATTCTAGTACATATTGAGTTACAAAAAGCACAGTAATTTGTGCAGGTGTATGTCCCTGGATTAGGAAACTCATTTACAACTTGAACCTCAGTATTATTTTCCCAAAGATTGGAATAATCTTATTTTTTCTCTATATAGGTTCTATTTGTGTCAAATCAAAATGACCTTATTTCTTCTAACCAAAAGAATAAGGAGATAGTCTATGTAGCTGTTGTTGTCTTGCTCTTTGAGAAGATTGTGAGGAAGGGTATTATTTAGAAGAAGACTTTTCCTAAGTCTCTGTCAAAAAGTTATTTCATACTTTGATTTGCACAGCAGTTAACTGAGGTTTTTTTTATTTAGGTAATCATCACGAAGAGAAGAAAATATGAAAGCTTGGTCTTTAGTTTGTTTTTTTTCTCAATAAAGTATTTTTATTTTTTATATAAATAATGGAATTTGAATAATTCACTTCTATAACTTACAAGATAGAGTATAATACTGCTGAGCACACTATTTTTCAATTATTTATATAAACTCATAAAAGAATATTTCATAATTTAAACAAGCTTCAGATAAGATCTATCCAGTTCTTCTTTTTTGACATCCTCAGATGAGGACCTCACGAAAGTACCTAAATTGGGGGAGAAAAGGGGCAAAGCTGGCAAGGAGAGGAGGATATGTGTTCAGCTTTGAATGGGGAAAGACAGTGACCGGGTCCATGTAAGTTGAAATAGCAAGCAGTCTACAAGTCAGATTTCAAAGTTTTGCAGAAATGTGATAAACTATGACATTAAGTGTGGAGGGAAAATGAAGCACATTTGAGCTAGACTGTAACCAGTCTTACAATGCTCGGCGCATCTGTAAGAGGCTCTCACCATGTGTTTGAGTCTTGTGAGCTAAACTGAGCAAAACACTGTTTGCAGGAAGGTGCATCCCCTTGGCAGAGTGATTTGGCTCTCACCTGCCTAAAAGGAATCTGGGTGTTGTGAAGTGATTAGTAAAGCTGAAGTCCTTTGAATGTACATGTCTTATATTCAGAAGGATGTGGGGACCGCCTTCTTCCTCTGCAGTGGGACTCTTATCTATGAGCCCCTAGTCGATCTAATTGAAAATGCCTTTTAGGAAAACATACCCCCTTGCGCATCCCTTCTGTGAGAGCAGAGCCATTTTGGGCGTCATTTTATCTCCAAACCAAAAAAAACCAAAACCAAACCCATTGCCTTCTAGTCGATTCCGACCCATAGTGACCCGTGTGACAGCGTAGACTGCCTGATAGAGTTTCCAAGGCTGTAATCTTCAGGGAAGCAGACTGCCGCATATTTCTCCTGCGGAGCAGCTGGTGGGTTCGAACTGACCTTTTGGTTAGCAGCCGGGCGCTTAACCGCTGTGCCACCAGGGTTTATCTGCATGCAGTGTATTTCGTCTGCCAGTGGATTAGGATCGAGGCTTCATACACGTAGAAGCAACAACTTTGGGGAGATTGCGTGGCAGCAATATTGGGCTCTTTTTTTCGAAGTGTTTGAACTACTTTAAAATGATGGCATTTTGCTTCCTGGGAAGAGACTAGAAATGTTGATTTCTTCACAGATTAAATTTGAGTAACAGAGAAGATCCACGCCATTTGCACAGAAGAGAGTATTATTGCTAGTGCACTTTTAGATGCTGTATAGAGGTTTGGGCTTATTACTCTGTTATGATGTTAAAAATCGACAAGCAGCTATTAACTATATTAGCAAAGTCATCTATGGATTTATATAAAAACCAGTATGTGGACGGTATTCTTCTGTATTCTTTGATGTCCTCCAGTTAACCTGTTTATAATAACGCTAAACCTATTTTTAGAATATTAAATATGCCATAAACAAAGTTAAATTGAAATAAACTTTAAAAGATATTTACCTTTTGACTCACCAATTTTCTAAGAATTTACATAAAGAAAATAGTTGGATAAGTAAGCAAGGAAGTATACAGGGTGATCCTGTTAATTACAGCATCACTTATAAGATTAAAAAAAGTAGAAAATAACTAAATGTCTATCAATAAATATGATTAAATAAATTATTGTATGATCATACGTTCAGCCATTAACAATGATGTAGATCTGTATTTAACAACTTGGAGAGATGTCTCCAATACATTGTTTGGTGGAGGTGGGTGGGTAATAAAAATAACAAGTAGCGTGGGCCACCTTGGATTTCAAAAAGAAGGATCAGAGTATATATGCATAGAAAAAGAAGAAAAAAGTAGAGATAAAAATTTTAATGGAAGCTGTTCTAAGTTGTATTGAATTAGAGGTGATCTTTTCTTTCTTTATACTTTTCTGAATGTTTGGAATTTTTGCGAGAAATGAGCTATTTCAATATTATAATAATACTGTTCTCTCCTTTTAATGGAGAGAAAATAGTTAATCATTCAGCATAATAATTAAAATGAAGAATAATTTTTACTTTCTACTAATACATACTTTTAGGATTCCCACAAAGCTGACTTTGGAAAAGTTATGAAACTTGTGTGACCTTTAACTTTCTTTTTGTATAAAGTGAGGATGAAAATAATTTCTAATCTATAAAATACAGTTATCCTGAAGATTATATGAAATTATACATATATCAAGCAACTATTGCATAACTGACGCATAGTCGGAACTTAGAAGTGGTATCAGACTTTCGTGTATAAAAGTTCTATACATATTCACCATCTTCTCGTCTTTTTTCATGCTAATAAGTGTGTCTAGACCACCTCACCAAACATGTACAGGGCTCTTCAGATTCATCCAAATTGTTAGAATAATTGTTTCTCCTCTGATTTTTTTAAAGGGGTTTGTGCAGTTAATGGTCTGTTATATGTAGTTGGAGGGGATGATGGCTCCTGTAACTTGGCATCGGTGGAATATTATAACCCAACAACTGATAAATGGACAGTTGTGTCATCTTGTATGAGCACAGGGAGAAGCTATGCAGGTAATACTTGTCTGATTTTCTTACAGTCTCTTCCAGTATACTACAAAAAAGATTACATCGTTACGACTTATATGAGAACTTTCCTGCTCTAAGAAGAAAGTCTCTTCTGAACGTTTGTTTTATATCTTGTTCATAAAATAATTAACATTCGATTTATACATTCCAAGTTAAGCACCAGTATCTTTTGTCACTTTACAGTCATTTGTATTCAAAATCCCAAATCTTTCTGGTGCAAATCATAGAGGAACATTTAACATGGCTAAAATCCGCTTGCAGTGGAGTGCAGCTCACTATGTGGCAAGGCTTTAATTACCCAGAGAGCCAGGAACTGTGACCCTACGACATCCCAGGGCAGGGCTTCATGAGGCAGTATGAGAGGGAGGCCGCGGGGCTCCGTGAGGCCGCGTGAGAGGGAGGCCGCGGGGCTCCGTGAGGGGGCGTGAGAGGGAGGCCGCGGGGCGGGGCTCCGTGAGGGGGCGTGAGAGGGAGGCCGCGGGGCTCCGTGAGGGGGCGTGAGAGGGAGGCCGCGGGGCTGAGGGAGGCCGCGGGGCTCCGTGAGGCCGCGTGAGAGGGAGGCCGCGGGGCTCCGTGAGGCCGCGTGAGAGGGAGGCCGCGGGGCTCCGTGAGGCCGCGTGAGAGGGAGGCCGCGGGGCTCCCCGAGCGGGTGTGATAGGGAGGTTGCAAGATAACTTCTTTCTCAGGCACAGCACTGGATAAATAATGGCATGTTTGGTCCATTCCCTTAGTAAGAGAAGTGATGATATTTTTAATACACGTAAAAACTGGGTTGTTTTGAAAAATAAGGCATTAATGGTGACTCTTTAAAATTGTATGCTGCATATTTACTATTCTTGGATGATGGATATTTATATCACCTTAAAAATTAGAATGTTTTAGTGACAAAATTGATGTGATAGTGGAGGAAACAAGTTTATACTGTTTAACTATCACTGTTGTTGATGCATCGTCCAAAACAACGCCTAGTAGAAGAGCCGTATATAGTAGGATCTCAGAACAGCATGGCGCAGTAGTAAGTGAATATTTTAAACAGCTTCATTGAGGTATACTTGACATTTACTAAACAGCATATGTTTAAAGTATGCAATCTGATTAATTTTGACATATGTGTATATCTCTGAACCCATTACCACAATCAAAATAACATACCCATCACCCCAAAAGTTTCCTTGTTCCGCTTTGAGTGGTAGGTGAATTTGGGTAATTCCCGAATAAAATTATTTTCCCTAAATGGTAACTAGTTCTGGATGAAATAGTAGTCCTGCTCCATAACTAAACAGATTTCGCATCGTTTAGATGAAAATGATAGTCCTACTAAAGGTAAATAAAGAGATTTTGAAACATTGTGGTTTGTTCAGTGTCTGTTGCTTTAATAATAACACAAAGAATTCCGTATTTTCTGGGAGATACAATATGCTGCTTGTGACTTCTGTTTTATTTCTTCATCTCTTTGCTCAGGGGTCACAGTTATTGATAAACCATTATGAGCCTGAAGGACATTTTCAGCATGTTCCTACATGAGAAGCAATCTTCAGCAAGTATTTCTCAAGTGACTGAGAATCTAGCACTTCTCCACTGGTAGCTGCACTTAAGTCTCAGCAGAGGGTAAGATCGTCTGCCTTTATAGGCCTCGGATACTGAAGATTATTTTTGGTAGAAGCACCGTGTAGGCTTTTTCTGCAATGAGCGGCAGCTGACGGAATTTTAATAAGAAACCTGGACTGCAGGACTTACTCTGTAGTCTTTAGACAACAGTTGCTTCCATAAAGACTGGTTATTATCAACCTTGAATGACTATGGATTATTTTGTGAAGGAGAATAAAGTAACGTGTGTTCTTGTAAAATTAAATTTTATCTTTATTCCTTCTCCTGAAAATCTGTATATCCAAGAACTGAAAATCTTGGGACAAGTATTAGAATCTGTGTAAGTATACAAACTAGTTGAGGGATAAAACTGTTTGCCTTTATAAAACATATTTGATTACATGAGTATCATAAATTGTGTGCATATAAATGCGTGTCTATATGCTTTCCTGTTAGTATGTTTGAAAAGATGTTTGAAACTTGATTCTACTATTTATAATTGGCACAGTACTTTGAATTATGCCAGTACTACATTGTAAAACAGAGTTGTATTTTTTGATATTTAAAATGCTTAACACTTTAAAATGCCACTTCCGAGGAATGAACATGGTATAACACACTTGAATATGTGTGATGCCAAACTTTTTAAAATAAAATATAAATTATGCGTATTTATTATTTTCTTTTGTTTAATCTTGGCCATGTTTTGGTGTGTATTTTTCATTTTTTTCTTAAAGTGACACATTGGCATGAACATTACTGCAGGTTTTTGATGAATATATGAATGTGCAGCTCAACTGAATTTGCATGGTTTTACAAATTTTTTCTGTGTGTACAAATTTAGCTGCTATAACAGAAGAGAGAACTTTCTGTGAGTAGCCATGTGCATTGATCAGATGTAATTTCTCTGAGATCTTCAATTAATCTCACTTTTAAAATGACCAGAACATGTCTTTCTTGAATTATCTTTGAATAAAAATTTGTATATTATTTGTTTCACAAACTCCTTGATTTTTATCATTTTAATTTGCTGTTAAGAAAGTTCCTGGTTAGTTTTTCTGTTCTTTTGTAAAATTTGTGTTTTCTAACTACGCAAATCTACGGTTTTAATTTGTTGCTGAAGGAATCTTTAAGACAAGGGTGTTAAATCAATAACCAAAATCACTGAAAATTTTTCTTTGAGAAAGATTGAGGAAAAGTCTCCCAAGGGTTGATGAAATTCAATTTTTTTTATATTCCTCTGTCCCTAATATGGTGGGTAGGATACAAAGAGAGATAAAACCGATAGCATTGCACCAAAAAGAAAGTCAAAGAAAAAAACAGCTACTCTCTGGTGAGAGATGAGTCTTGATAGCAGGTAAAGAGATGGAGAAAATACGGGAGTGGAGGACGGGGGAGAGGAGTTGATGGTCAGGACACAGAAAAGGGCGGGCGTGATGGGATGTTCCGGCTGTTCGTCAGAAGAGGGATTTAAAAGGTTAAACAGAGAACCGTACTTAACACTTAGTTGAATTTTCCATTGTAAGTGGAAATATAAAGAATTTAATCAAAAAAACGTTACGAAGAGTGTGTGCCTGACACATGGGGCCGTTAGATGAATGAGTAAGGTCACTGGGAACTTAACAAGAAGGGCGTCCCTCAAGAGGGTACTTCCTTAAGGAAATCGTAATTGATGTGATGGGGAGGGGAGCACGTGGGGGATTAAAACAAGTAAAAGAGCCAATCTGAGCAAAGGCTCCAAGGAGAGAAACACCAGTAGGAACTTCAAAGGACTTCCATCCTCACGTGGGGCCCTTGTGGGAAGTTGCAGTTTCCTCAATTGAAGGATGACGTTCGTATGTCATTAAACCCTCTGAACCCCTGTACGCAGTAGTTTAGTGTTGTGAGATGAGGCTAGACAGGGACAGAAGTGTGTCACCTCTCCCCCGACCCGATCTCGGTGCTCACTGTTCTCACTGCCCAGCACGGTGACAGCAGCACCTGGAAGGTCTCTAGGCCCGTCTGCTGGGGTAGGCCAGTGCCTGACACCCACAGGGGAGCGTGTTTAAGGGCTTTGAGGTCAGTGCTGTCACCTCCCTACTGCTGATATGGTTTTAGGAGAAATAAGACTTTAACAATTAAAGAGATCAACTATTAAAAGTGAGAGAGAAAGGTAGACGTTGGCAAAGGGCAGTCAGTTCTGGAGGAACTGCTGCAGCGATCGCAAAGTGGTTTTTCAGTTATATGCTGTTTACAATCTTGTGAGAAAAAACATACAGTTGTTCTTTAAAGGTTATACAGTAGTGCAGAACAAGTTGCATAATCCCATTGCCGAGTAGTGGATTCTGACCCGTAGCGACCCTGTATGACAGAGTAGAACTGCCCCAAGGAGCAGCTGGTGGATATGAACTGCTGACCTTTTGGGTAGCAGCCAAGCTCTTAACTACTGAACAAGTTACACAGAATACACAAAATCCTAGAGATGTAGGTTTTGGAGAAAAACTTTTAGGTTAAATATGTACCGTCTGTTAATTCAAAGCGAGCAAGGTCCTTGGGAGAACAAGAAGGGCGTTCTTCAGGAATCAGTGAAGTTAGGTTACAGGGGTCACTATGAGTTGAAATCGACCCAGAGGCAGTGGGTTTGGGTGTTGTGTTCTGATTTAATGATAAAGACACCCAGAAGTCTTGGAGGTTTGTCCAGGCTTCTGGGGAGTTAATTTTAACAACGGGTATCATTTTCTAAATCCCTGAGCTTCGCTTTCTCATCTGCCAAAGGAATAATAGCAAGTGCTTCTCTGGGTTGTTGCGGGTTACACTGCATTGGGAACCCTCCAACTCCGTACATAGGGGTTGTTAAAGGATGCTTGGGCTGGGGTGGGGGGAGGCTGGTCTGGTGGCGCTGCAGTGAAGAGCACAGCTGCTAACCAAAAGGTCGGCAGTTCAAATCCACCAGCTGCTCTTTGGAAACTCTATAAAGTCACTGTGAGTCCAGATCAACTCCTCAGCAATGGGTTAGGTTTTTTTGGTTTCAGCTGGGGAGCAAAGGTAGACTTCAGAATGAATAATGTAAATCCAGTAGAAACAAGAGGAAGGCGAGCCGTCTGTAAACACAGCAAAAATATTTTAAAACTCATTTATACTGTTTTCTCAGGTTTTGGCGATATAGCTGCCACACAGTTCACATCTTAAAAAAGTCCTGGAGTCTGGCACATTGCTCACTTCCCTGGGCTAGCGTGGACTGGAGACGCACCAGGGAGCGCGGGTGGGAGGTGAGGAGGGAGTGCTGTGGAATTGGGGTGAGAGAGCCTCCAGTCAGCTGAGTGCGGGTGGGAGGTGAGGGGGGAGTGCTGTGGAATTGGGGTGAGAGGTCCTCCAGTCAGGTGAGTGCGGGTGGGAGGTGAGGAGGGAGTGCTGTGGAATTGGGGTGAGAGAGCCTCCAGTCAGGTGAGTGCGGATGGGAGGTGAGGAGGGAGTGCTGTGGAATTGGGGTGAGAGGTCCTCCAGTCAGGTGAGTGCAGGTGGGAGGTGAGGAGGGAGTGGTGTGGAATTGGGGTGAGAGAGCCTCCAGTCAGGTGAGTGCAGGTGGGAGATGAGGAGGGAGTGGTGTGGAATTGGGGTGAGAGAGCCTCCAGTCAGCTGAGTGCGGGTGGGAGGTGAGGGGGGAGTGCTGTGGAATTGGGGTGAGGGAGCCTCCAGTCAGGTGAGTGCGGGTAGGGGGTGAGGAGGGAGTGCTGTGGAATTGGGGTGAGAGGCCCTCCAGTCAGGTGAGTGTGGGTGGGAGGTGAGGGGGGCTGCTGTGTAACTGGGGTGAGAGTCTCCAGTCAGCTGAGTGTGGGTGGGAGGTGATGTGGGGGAGCGCTGTGTAATTGTGAGGGAGCCTCCAGTCAGGTGAGTGCGGGTGGGAGGTGAGTAGAGAGTGCTGTGTAATTGGGGTCAGAGAGTCTCCAGTCTGGTGAGTGCGGATGTCGGGGGCGGGGTGGGGGGGAGGCACATAATGGATGGGAAAGAAATAGATGAAAAAGGCCAAAATACTTAAGTGATGAAACTGGACCCTTTAAGAGTATACAGGCATTTGAAGAAGGGACATATTAGAAGATAGTCACAGCACAGTGTGATAGAATCATGAAAGTTTTACAAAAATGGAAGCACTCCAGGGGAGATAAGGTCATTTTTCTATGTATGGGGGTGGGGGGAATGGGTCAGGGAGGGCCTCAGAGAGAAGGTTGCTGAGGGATGAATAGGAATTGGATAGAAGGATATGACCGGTAAGGGAAAATTGGCAGAGATAGATAAAGCAGCAGGAACAATGAGTGGTCAGTTATTGTGAGAATGTGAAGTGCAGGGTGACAAGAGGTGAGAAGTCTGGTAGGGCCTTATGTGCATCCTGGAGGAGAGTAGTCTTTAGGGGAAATGCCCCCATGGTCTTTGGGGATCTGAAAAAAGGGGTTAACTGCTGTTTAGATAGACCCTGGTGTTGCCTCCTAGAGATGAAATTTGAGAAATGCAAGGTGACTTCTGCAGATGGGGGACCTTGTGCAATCTGGACTTTATTGTTCTTGTTGTTAGGTGCTATTGAGTTGATTCCAACTCATAGGGACCCCCTGTACAACAGAACGAAACACTGCCTGGTCCAGCACCATCCTCACAATCATTGCTATGTCTGAGCCCATCATTGCAGTCACTGTGTCCATCCATCTCATTGAGAGTCTTCCTCTCTTTTGTGGAGACTCTACTTTACCAAGCATGATGGCCTTCTGCAGGGACTGGTCCCTCCTGATAATATGTCCAAAGAAACACGAAGTCTTGCCATCCTCACTTCTAAGGAGCATTCTGGCTGTACTTCTTCCAAGACAGATTTGTTCATTCTTTTGGCAGTCCATGGTATATTCAGTATTCTGCCCCAGCGCTGTAATTCAAAGGCATCAATTCTTCTGTCTTCCTTATTCATTGTCCAGTTTTTGCATGCATACGAGGCAATTGAAAGTACCATGGCTTGGGTCGGGCCCACCTTAGTCCTTATGATCTTTAAGTTTGTGTGTCAACTTATCTGGGCCATGATTCTCAGTGTTTGGCGGTTATGATGTAGTTTGGCAGTCCTTTAATGATGTGATCACGTCCATGATGAGATTTGGTATGTCATTACCTCTGCGACGGAATCTGCTGTGAGTAGCCAATCAACTGAAAGGGGTGTGGCCTGCATTGAGTATAAGTGGACTTTCTGGCAAGGCTCATGGGCTTTTGCTCGCTCTGGATCCTGCAGCTGGCTCCTGTTCTTCTGACGTTTGGTTCTTGGGACATGAGCTAGCAACTAATCTGCCACCTTGCCTGCCAATCTTGGGATTCTTCGATCTTTGCAGCCTTTGAGCCAGAGCGCTCGTGTCTCACTTGCCAATCTTGGGTTTGCCGGCACCTGCAGCTACGTGAACCAGGAGAAGCCTCCAGTCCGATGCCTGGACTTGGGATGTTCCACCCTCTACAACTAGGTGAGCCATTTCCTTGTTATAAATCTTTCTATATATTTATATGCTTTACTGGTTTTGCTTCTCTGGAGAGCACAGCCTAAGACAGTCTTCAGAGTGACGTCTTTGCTTTTTAACACTTTAAAGAGGTCTTTTGCAGGAGATTTGCCCAGTGCAGTACTTCACTATGCTTCCATGGGCATTGATTGTGTATCCGAGTAAAATGAAATCCTTGACAACTTCAGTATTTTCTGTTTATCATGATGTCTTTTATTGGTCCAGTTGTGAGAGTTTTGGTTTTCTTTGTGTTGAGGTGTATTCCAAACTGAAGGCTGTAGTCTTTGATCCACTTCACTAAGTGCTTTAAGTGCTCTTCGCTTTCTGCAAGCACAGTTGTGTCATCTACATATCGAAGGTTGTTCATGAGTCTTCCTCCAAACCTGATGCCCAGTTATTCTTATAGTCCACCCTCAGGGATTATTTGCTCAGCATACAGATTGAACAAGTATGGTGAAAGGTTAAAACCCTCACACACACCCTTCTTGATTTTAAACTGTGCAGTATCCCCTTGTTCTGTTTGAACAACTGCCTCTTTGTCTAATTACAGGTTCCCCAGGAACACACTTAAGTGTTCTGGAATTCCCATTCTTCAAAATGTTATCCATAATTTGTTATGATCCACACAAGCAAATGCCTTTGCTTAGGTAAACATCTTTCTGGTATTCTCTGCTTTCAGCCAAGATCCAAAGATAAAATGCCAAAGGATGGACACTGGCTGACATACACAGAGAATCCACAAATCAGTAAGTTTCATATTTCTAAGGATCTACTTAGCCAGAGCAGACTGTCCAGACTTCTTTGATAGCTTCCAGTCTATCAGATTGCCCACCAAAGACAAAATGAAAATTCATTATTCCAAGACTTTTTTTCCCTCTCCTCTTCTTTCCTTTTTAATTCCTATTTTTAACTTTGTTCAGTCGGTAATACTGTATCCCGTTTCTCCCTTGTGTGTGGAGAGCAAACTCCTGCACCTGAATTCAGCCAAATGTCTCTAAGTTGTGTGAGAGTTTGAAGGCTTCTAATGGAGGCAGCAGAGATGGGGGAGTCATTCTTTCAACATCTCAGAGCATTCTGTCTGAGATGGCTAGGTAGATGATGATGCAGTTCAACGCTTAGGGACTAAAGAAGGCAGAAGGTATTTGGACAGGGGTTGAGAGGAGCAATTTTTGAAACTTCTGGACATGTTGAGTTTACCTTGCCTCCGAGGCATCTAATTGGAGATAGCCAGTAGACTTTTGGGTAATCAGAATCTGGAGTTTAGAGGAGAGGATTAGAAATAGAGATGGAGACACCTCAGCATATTTTTAATAGAGGAAAGTGGTTAAGATCACTGAAGGAAATCTGGACTAGTTAGAAGGGCATAAGGAGGGCTCAGATGAGACACTTTCCAGCCTCAATTCTCCAGTCTTCTCAAAATCCATACCCCAGACATGCAGAATCAGAAAGCACTGTATCCTTTCGCATCTCCTGGTTGAGTCTTTGGACCTACTGTCCTTCTACCTGAAACATTTACCCTAACTGCCTCCCACCCCAAATCCTACTTTACCTTTTATCTGGCCACCTCTCCCTCTTGCTTCAGGTCTCAATTTAGCTAGCATCCTCTAGGAACTTCTTCCTAATCCTCTGTGTTCTCATAAAAACAAACAAAAAAAAACCAAATCCTTTATCATCGAGTTGATTCCAACTTATAGCAACCCTGTAGGACAGAGCCGAACTGCCCAATAGTGTTTCCAAGGAGAAGCTGGTAGATTCGAACTGCTGACCTTTTGGTTAGCCGCCAAGGTCTTAACCACTGTGCCACCAGGGCTCCTGTGTTCTCGTAATACTCTGATTCCCCCTTTAGTGTTTTTTCTCACATACTTTTGGTTTGGTTATTTCTCTGTATTCTTCACTAGATTCTATGTTTCGTGAAGGCAGGGGCAAGGGTAGCAGCCAGCACAGTGGCTGCACATAGTAAGAACAAATTAAATGTTTGTCATAGTAGATGGATACATGTGAATCTCAAGAACCAAGGGAGGAGAATGTTTCAAGAAGAGAAGCACCAAATCTTGAGAATTTTTTTTTTGGATTTGACAGGCGATCCTGCGTGATTTTAGTAAGCGTAAATGGAGTACAGTGGTGGGAATAGAAACCAGATTGCAGTTGCTAAAGAATAAATGGAAAATGAGACAATGAAGACACCAGTGTAGAATAGTCTTTCAGGAGGCTTAGATAAACTAAAAGAATTGTTTGGGAAACCCTAGTGGCTTAGTGGTTAAGAGCTACAGCTGCTAACCAAAAAGTCGGCAGTTCAAATCCACCGGGCGCTCCTTGGAAGCTCTATAGAGCAGTTCTCTGTCCTGTAGGGTCACTATGAGTTGGAATCGACAGCAATGGGTTTGTTTTGTTGTTGTTATGAATTGTGTCCCCCACAAATATGTGTTTTAAATCCTAACCTCTGTGCCTGTGGTTATACTCCCGTTTGGGAATGGGTTGTCTTTGTGACATTAATGAGACAGGATTAGTGTAGGGTATGTCTTAAATGAATCTCTTTGAAGATATAAAAGAGATTAAACAAGCAAGCAAAAGAAGCAGAGATAGGGGAAGAGAGATGCCAGGCCACATGAAGATCGCCCGAGAGCAGAAGTTCAGAAGAGCAAGGACCTTCCTCCAGAGCTGACAGAGACGGAAAGCCTTCCTCTAGATCTGGCACCCTGAACTCAGACTTCTAGCCTCATAAACTGTGAGAAAATAAACTTCTGTTTGTTAAAGCCACCCACCGGTGGTATTTCTGTTATAGCAGCACTAGGTGACTAAGACACCCTCTGACTGTTCTATCTATTTATTATTGCAGTGTAGTATAATGGATGAGAGCCTGGGCTGCCCCACTTAAAGCATTTGCATGACTTTTGGCAAGTTGCTTAGTCTGGCTATACCCCAGTTTTGCACCTATAAAATGGGGATCATAAAAGCACCTCCTACCTCCTGAAGGTGCGGTGAGGATTAAAGTTGTTAATATAGAGAGAGCATGTAGTAGTCTTACAGCGTATTTCCCAGCACACAGAGAGTGGTCTGTAATTGTTACCTTCTTGTAGCTAGTCTGTGCCAGGTGCTGTGTTAAGCACATCACATACGTTATCTCATGGACTCACTGGAAGAATTATTGTTAGGTACATTTTGCAGATGATACAACGGAGGCTCAGAGGTGACATAACTTGCTCAGTGTCACACAGCTAGCAGGTGGTATTGGTTCAGCCTTGTCAAATTTGGCAATGACCTCCCAAAAACTGAGGATTGGGACCCTTGTTTTATTTTTCGATGCAGGAGATGATTGAAGATACCTTGGTGTGTTGGGAGCTAGATTGCACGTGGGTGAGTGAGTTGTGTGGTTGGGAGTTATACAGTCAGAGGCTTTGTGTAGATCTCCCCTTTGAGAAAGAAGCAGGCTGGTTCAAAGAAAGAGAAATGGGATAGTGGCTGGGGGAGAGGTAATAGAGTTTAGGGAAGCTTTTCTCAAGGAAGGAAGACTTGAGTGTGTTCTTAGACTTGAAGGGAGAGACTTGTGAAGAGGGAAAGACAAAAGCAAGAAAGGGTAAGTGAAGGACAATATCTTGACGAGGTGAGGTCAGATGGTGGGAAGACTGGTCAGTCTTAGAGGAGAGGATAAACAAGCAAAGGGAAATCTTGAGGGTGGGAGGTACATGATGTAAAACTATAGCCTCCACGGTGTAAGTCGTTTGACAGCGAGTAGGACAGAAGAATAAGGATGCAGCGTGAATGCAGAGCCCTGAAGGAGGTGGCTAAGCTTGCCAGTATCCTCTCTGAGGAATGGGATGAGGGGTCAGTGGGGAGGTGCATTTTAAGCACTACTGATGACTTTGCTGAGGCTTTAAAATACTTATTTTTAGAGTGGGCCATCATAATTCATAAATTAGATACAGCAGTGAACATTTTTGGAAAAGTGACATTGTTCGTTTCTCTATTTTTTTTGTATTTGATGACTCTTAAGTTTATTCGGTATGTCACTAAAATATGGCTTGTTAAAAAAAAGTTAAAATGGTATAGAAGGTATAAAATGGAAAGTAAAAATTTTCCTTCATAACCCACCCCCTGCACGCACGCAGACGCGCACACATACTCACACACACACTTCTTAATCTCCTTTCCTATCAGTTGCCACTGTAAATTGTTCCCTCTGTGTCCTTCCGTACATTTTCTGTTTGTGTATGTGTTGGTACCTACACGCGCATGGAAGTGCATAAATAAAAGACAATGCTTTTAACAAAAATATAAGTGGGGCTGTCACTTTACATATTATTCTGCAACTTGCTATTTCACCTACACTGTATCTTAGACATCTTTATATGTAGAACGTACATTTTCTTTATTCTTTTAAATGGCTGTATCATTGTGTATGGAAGGATTTACCCTAATTTATCTCTTCTCTTGTTGATGGGCTTGCTTATTTATGTTTTGGCTTCCTGTTTTTCTCTTTTTTTTCCCCTATTGTAAGCAGTGATTCCTTATTCTTAGCATGCCTCTTTGTACACTTGAGAGAAAATTGCTGGGTCAAAGGGTGTATTCGTTCTTAATTGTGAATTTTTTTTCCCCAATGTTATATAATTTATACTCCCACCAGCAATGTCTGATGAAGCCTGTTTCCCCACACCCTTACCAATTGGGTATTGGGCACTGTTAAACTTTGTTAAGATTTGCTGCTCAGATTTGTTTTTTAAATTCTATTTTTTGTATGCATTTTCTTGTATAAATAAAGTTGTACTTCTTACTTTTTAGTGACCATTTGCATTTATTTTTCTGTGAACTGCCTGTGAATGACCTTTGCCGTGTTTTGTCCTTTTTTCTCTAAACACTCTTTGTAGCCTTTTGTCTTAAGCCATTTGACATATTTTTCCAGTTTGTCGTTTGATCTTTGATGTTGTTTATGGCTGTTTTTTTATTCCCCAAGTAAAAGTGTTTAATTCTTACCTAGTCAAGTTTGGCATTTTTTCTTTATAAGTTCTGTGGTTTTAAATGACATTTTTAAACTCTATGATTGTTCATTGAAATTAGAAGTTTTTCCATGGAGACCACACTTAAAGTCTTTTTAAACATAATTAGAAATTCATTATCCACTCTTGTTCTTTTAGATAATGCTTTTAAAAGTAAGATTTGGGTTTAAAATAATATCTAGAAATGGAGGTGAAGATGACATGTAGAATTTTTTGTTTTAGTTACGTTTGGGATCTGAGAAATTTTTACTCCTTTACTAGCTGTTCTTTTTAAAATTATCAGAAGCTCTATTTTTTTAACTATTGGAATTTCATTTTTACCTTATTTATTTATTTTTACAGAATTGTAGGGCTGTCTGCAGAGATTTGAAAAATGGCAACAAGTGAAAGTGTCGACATCTTTAGTTCAGCATCCTTGGCTGTGGAGAATGTAGATTCACTTTTACCTGAGAATCCTCTTCAAGAACCATTTAAAAATGCTTGGAACTACATGTTAAATAATTATACAAAGTTCCAGTTTGCAATTTGGGGATCCCTTATAGTTCACAACACTGTTTATTTCTTGTTCTGTTTACCTGGATTTTTGTTTCAATTTATACCTTACATGAAAAAGTACAAAATTTAGAAGGTGTGTATAATGGACTTTAAACGGAATATTATCATTCGTGTTGTTGAATATTTTGAAACGGAATATAATTCTGTTTTGAGAGACTCTAGATCGGTGCTGTCCAGTATATGATGTGAGCCACGTATGTACAGTTAAATTTTCTAGTAGGACCCATCAACTAAAAAAAAAAAAGGTAAATTTATTTTATTTAACCCAGTAAGTCTAAATTATTGTCATTTCAACAGGTAATCAAAATGTTTTAAAAAATTAAATGATATATTTTCCATTATTATTTTCATATTACGTCTTTGAAATCCAGTGTGTGATTTACACCCATTTCAATTCAGACCAGCCATATATAAAATGTTCACAAGGCACAATCTTCCAGTGGCTGCTATATTGGACAGCTCAGCCCTTGATCATTACCGATAGTGTCTCACGAATAGTTTGTTAAATTGAATTTAAAGTAGATAAGATAGCTATCTAACTTGGACTCATAAATTTTAATTATTAACCTAGGTGGAAGGAAAAGAATGGGGATCTGTGGGTATTAATATTGCAGTTTACCCCACCCCCGATGTCCTAGCCAATCTATGTGTATGTTAATATGGTAAGACCCCGACCAGGGCTATGAAAGTTGATTTTTTTTCCCCTAAATATATGGTGGATATTTGTGCAGCATTCATGGCGTCCCTAATAAGCAGGTGATGCTCCTCGTTTCTAGGTATTTGATTCAATGCACTAAATGTTTCTTGAGAGCCCACTATGTATATGACAAGGTGTTGAGGTATACAAAATGCCCCTTCTCAATTCTAACCATAGGGAACACAGCAAACTCTGCTAATGTGTATGCTAATGAGCTTGACATGATTTCCAGGAAAGCATCTGAATTTGTTTTTTATTTATCAGCACTTGGTAAGCCCATGATAATTTGAAATACTTCCTGTACTCTTCTAAAAGTTCATGCCACACTAACTCAAGGGCATGCAGTGTTGGTAGAAAGTAGACACATCAAGAGTGTTCATGACTGGAAAGTAATTTGCGCTCGCTGAGGAAACGCCAGGTGGCCGGTCAGTGCACACACTCCCCCTGTCGGTCTGTCAGCTTCACAGCCTCTCCCAGTGAGTCTCACTGCACGTGAGTGCGAACATCCAGCCTCTCTGGGGACACTACAGGAGGTCCCGTGATGTGGACTCTCAAGAGGAAGGAATAAAAAGGGTGGTGTCCCAAAGGAGAGTCTCCTGTCAGCCTACATTAGGACACAGAAGTTCCAAAAATGATTTTTATGAAAAGGCCTGCTGCGAAAGACCGTTCACTTTGGATGTCTATGTTCATATGTGTCTTTAGGGTGATTCTGGCTGCCAGATGTCACCTAATATGTATGCACAGGGCTGACTCGTTACATGACAGGGCAGGCAGAAGTGCCCTTTTCATTCTTCACTGTCCTTATGTGCATTCCAGGCTGCAGTTGCCCCATTGGTCAGAGAGACAAGAACCCTTTTTCAGATAAAGGAACGCGAGGGGCTTTAAAATGAAATGCAGTAAGAGAAAGGACAAACAGTAATCAAGCTGGTTAGAGTTAGTTGTTTATAATCTGATGTCAGAAACATCAGAGATTGAAAGGCTGGGTAGTATGGATTCAAGTCTATACTCAGCATATCTTTTGAGCTTCACAGCCTGAAAGTCCATAGGTTGACCCTTTTTGGTGCTAAAAATAAATCGTGATGGTAATTCAGTACAAGTCTACACAATAAAGAGGGATTTAAAAGCAAACAAAATAATCAGTACATATTATGAGTTTATGCTTTTTAGAAGACAAATACCTGAAGTAACATAGCATGTGTAAAAGTTGCTGGTGGTGTTGAAGTAATTCTAAAACCTTGCCACTTTCAAATAGATGGCTTGACAGTTAATGGACATGCTCGCTAGCTATGGGAAAATTTATAGGAATGAGCGAGAGTAGGATAAAACAGACCTTGCAGGATCTTTTTCCTGAAGAAATAGTCATACAGATCAGTTCTCCAGAAACGTTTTCTTAAAGATGTATTTACTAAAATCATTCTTTCGGAAGTGCATGACCCTAATAAAGGTATTCCTTCATGTCAGAACCCAGTTATGTATAAAGAAGTAAAATACGATAAACTCTTATATTGCATTATGTGACTTTTTTATTATTCACTGTCTTTAATTTATGTCCATGTCAAACATTATACTGTGTGCTTTTATCATCCATAAACCAAAAAACCAAACCTGTTGCTGTCAAGTTGATTCTGACTCATAGCGATGCTGTAAGTCAAGGTAGAACTGTCCCCATAGGGTTTCCAAGGGATGGCTGGCGGATTTGAACTGCCAACGTTTTGGTTTGCACCCATAGCTCTTAACCACTGTGCCACCCGTGCTCCTAATTATCCATAGTTGATTAATTTTTTTGTGAAAATTTCCGTAGCTGCAAGGTTACCGTGTTCTAGCCAATAGTTTCTGTGTGAAGCAGTGCCATTGTTGACCCAAGCACGAATAGTCAGTTTATTGTGTTCCCAATCACAGACTGCAGGTTTGGAGAGGGGGTCTCACATAACACTCAGAATAGAAACAGAAGGACAATTATAAATATCTTGTCTAAACCCTCGTGTTATTGTCCCGGAAACTGAGTTGTAAGCATCACAGAGCTAGTTAACTGCTTAGTTGGGGGCCTTGGGATTGGAACCTGCGTCTCCAGGTTGATTCCCAGTTCAATGTTTTCCTGTTTTTGTTGGGAATAATAACTCTTCATTTCAAGAATCAAACTGGGTCTGGAGACCTAGATAGATTGTAGTCAGACCAAGGTCTGCTAGTCACAGCCCGTGTGATCCTGGGCAAGGTGGTTGACCTCTTTGGGCCTCTGCTGATGAACAGTGCTTCCCAGTTTGGATGCTTGGGTTCGGTTAAAAAAACTAATTTGGCAGCTTTCTGAATTTATAAGTGAGGACATTTAAAACGAAGCAATAACTACTATTTATCACTATCTTTTCATGAAAGCGAAAAGTACGTTTTCTTATCACCAAAAAAGTGTAAGTGTAGCCCTTTATTTCTTTCTTTAATTTGACTGTGCTTTAGGTGGAAGTTTACAGCTCAAGTTAGTTTCTCATTCAGAAATTTAGACACATGTTGTTTTGTGACATTGGTTGCAATCCCCACAATGTGACAGCACTCTCCCCCTTCCCACCTCGGGTTCCCTGTGTCTACTCGTCCAGTCCTGTCCCTTTCTGCCTTCCCTTGTTGCTTGGGCAGGAGTTCCCCATTTTGTCTTGTATATTTGATTGAATTAAAGAGCACGTCCCTCATGTATGTTATTAAGTATAGCCCTTTAAATTGAATGAATTTAGTTTTATGATGTGGCTTGAGCAAATCAACATTCCAGTGAGGTTTCACGAACCCTTCACTGCGCTGATCTCACTTTTCTCATTTTGACGTGGGTCTGTGAACGTCATCATCTCTAGGCAGGAGCTCCCCATCCTTTGGGAACCACTAGACATCCCTGAAGTTCTTGAGCCCAGAAGTTTATAATCCTGTCGCTGTATATAAACAAAAATGCATTTATGTTCTAGAATAATGCCACCAAGTATCTGTTTACCTGTGTGATGGAAGAGCCCAGTGTTGGTGTGTGCCGCTCCTTTTAAAGGTCAGGCGGCCAACTGTAATCTTACCAAAATGCATTCTTCCTTCTCTGGAACTTACAGTAAGAGATGCGAATGATCTGTGGGCAGCAAAGATTGGGGAGTTGTTTATTCTGTAGGACTTCTTTGGTTTATTTGAAAATCTTTATGCTTAGGTTTGTCTATGAAGTCTCTTCACCTTGTTAAAGTAGTCACAATAGTTGTCAAGAATATAGAAAAGACGGTAGTTGTGACTCCTGGGCCTTAGAGTAACATAGAATTATAATCCCATATAAACATTAAATAACAATTAGGAATTTACTTCTAATTGTCAAGCTAAACTACTGATAGCAGAGGTTAACATTAAGTATTGTGATTTTTCT